ACACACACTCCATGGTCTAGAATACATGTAGATTACGCTGGGCCCTTTCAGGGACAATTCTTCCTGGTTGTTGTTGATAGCCATTCCAAATGGCTGGAGGTCGTGCCTGTGTCTTCTACCACAGCTGCCAAAACTATTCAAGTGTTGAGAAACATTTTTGCTACACACGGGTTGCCAGATGTTCTGGTGTCAGATAACGATCCTCAATTTACTTCTACTGAGTTTCAGGGATTCCTACAGGCCAACATGATCCGCCACGCTGCTTCGGCTTCTTTCCATCCTTCCACCAACGGTCTGGCTGAACGGATGGTCCGCGTCGCCAAGGACGCCCTCAAGAAGCTGACTTATGGCAATTGGCATCACAGGTTGGCTGACTTTCTTCTAGCCCATCGTACTACTCCGTGCACTGCCACGGGTAAGTGCCCGGCTGAACTCCGCTGGGGTCGTCGGCTCGTGACTAAATTGGACAGGCTGCATCCGGAGCGTGTAGCTTCACAGGTGTCTCAGCCACACCCACCATGGGTCCTGCGTGAAGGCGATCCTGTCTGGGCCAGGAACTACGGGCCTGGACACCTCTGGGTCCCGGCTGTGGTCTGCAAGGTCTCGGGGCCTCTGTCCTACGAGGTGTCCCTGGAAGACGGCCGCGTTCTTCGCCGCCACATTGATCAACTATGTGTGAGGCGGGACTCGCCTGGGGTTCCTCCTCAGTCTCCTCTAGGGGGGGGAGGAGGAATGGGGAATGCATTCTGAGAATCAGAATCTGCTGCCAACAATGGTTGTGGGGAACGACACGGGCTCTCAACACCCAAGTTCCACAGGTGATTCAGGTAGCAATTCACCCCCACACACACTCCAGCCTGGGAGTCCCACCGGAGGTATACTAATTATCCACACCTCACAAACAATACTCCAGACACGGAGAATAACTGGGAGCATACTCACAACTCACAACATGCAAGAGAGCAGGCAAAACAGAGGGGAAACATGTCCTTTGCTGAAATGGCTCATAGAAGGATGTCCCCATGCATAAGGGCTAACAGGGAGGCATCCCTAGACCCTAACACTACAGGAAGGAGCCAGGAAAATCACACTCCGTCAGGAAACACGGAGATGGGTTCAGAGGGGTTGGAAAACTCCATAGGTGGTAGGTATAGCGATCAACAGAGATCTGACTTCTCAAGCCTAGGAGACGGNCTATGATGGCGTCCATGTGGGCGCCGTATTATTTCATCTAGGGGGGAGGGGTGTTGTGTCCTGAGCCTGCAAGAGCAGGCTCGGGACGTTGCAAGAGTCCCGGGCATTTGCAAAAGCTGCCCGGGACCAGACTGAGTGGCGCCGGCCTTGCGCGCATGCGCAAGGCGGGAAAAGACTGCCTTGTCATTGGTTGGATTTGTCCGGGGATCAGAAGGTATAAATAGAGGCCTGCGTGCCTCTGCTCGGGTTGTTCGTAGATTGGAAGCAGAGAATAAAGACTTGTTAGAAATGCTTCGTCTCAAGCGCCATTATTCTCCGGACTTAACACTGTGAGCATTCAGAGAAATTATATTTATTTATTTGTTAAATTTACTTGCTGTCTATCTTGCCATGAGGCCATTCTAGGCAGATCATAACAATAAAAAGGAAGAAATGAAAAGAGAGTGAACAGAATAGAAAAAAGATAATAGAACAATAAAATCAACAATGAAAAAGAGTACAGCAAGAAATAAATTATATTATTACCAAAAAGGATATGAGTGTATTGGTTCCCTAAATAATGTATCATGAAACCCAAGTACTTAGAACAAGGAATTCTTTTTATTTGGGTCTTTCAGTGTTCCAACATAATTCTTAGCAGCCCTTGCAAATGCATTACCTTTGTTTTCTCATAGTTAATTAGTAAATTGTGTTTCCTACAAAAAGATATTAGCATCTAATGGCTCTTCTAAGATCTATTATCTTCCAAGATCTATTATATTCGAAAATTGCCTGGCTATAGTGCATCTCACCCATCAAACTGATATTCTTGTGGAGCGTTTAATATGGTAAGTATCTGTCAATTGTAGATGCTTTGGGTTTGTTCCAAAGAGTTTCTCTAATGATGGGAGTCAAAGACCTCTTTGATCTAGAAACAGGCAAAAAGCATGATTTAATGGCTGAATATATTTCACAGTCAAATGAGAGTATCAGTCCTTAATCAAGCATGGAACAATCTGTCTGTTCAGACTACTATCTTGAACTAATTTTGTAATTCTGTTTCAGGATTGTCTCTGTCACTGCCTGTTCTACATTTGCTAAGATACCAGGCTGTGTCCACAACTGCAGCATGGGTTGATAATCCACTCTGAGTATAAATTAGTTTGTTGAGCTATCAAAATATTTGAAGTAAAATCTGAGATGAATATAGAGAAATATTTTTCAAGAATATGTGTGTGTGTAATTTTATGTATGTGTAATTTTAAATCCAAAATTTAAAAAAGACAAAAAAAAGACAAACACAGGCTTTCATGAGATTTAAGTAAATACCAAACCACGTCAAAAGCATGCAATAGTTCACGTTTCCATGCTTGTGGTTATAATGTATGCAACTTCTTTTAGGGAAGCAATTTATTACCTCTGCTGATTTTGCAACTGAGAAATAGAGTATTTATATAAATGCTGACTGTAAACTAAAGTAGATGTAAGACTCATCCAAACCATATTTGAAAAGTCTATGTTTTCAGAGCAAGACAGAATTGTTTAAGGTAAGACTAGAAATTATATAACATCTCAAAAATGAAAAGTAGGTCCCCCCCAGTTTTTCCCCTGAGCTATCCTCCAAAATATTAATGTCCCATAAACTGTGATCTATTCAGTAGATACTGTAGATCAGAGGTCACCAACCCCTGGTCCGTGGACCGGTACCGGTCCATGGCATGTGAGCAACCGGTCTGCACAAAAAAGCAAAGCCCCATCCGTGGGATGCAGGCAGCACTCAAAACCATGCACTCTTTGGTCCATGGAAAAACCTTGGGGACCTCTGCTGTAAATGAATCATACTTTAATTGATTAATTGGCTATTAACTGCTTAAAAATTGAATACAAATAAGCAAGCGGTTTTGCAGTAAAGTATATACATTGCTTGTATATAGTATAATATCCTTAATAGCAATATTTAGAGAAGAAGAATGATAGTTTTAACAATTTTCAGCTTTTCAAAATACTTGTTAAAGTTTTTAATAATAGCAATTACATTTAGATTTCTATAGCACTTCACAATGCTTTACAGCCGTCTCTAAGCAGTTTACAGAGTCAGCATATTGCCCCCAACAATTTGTGTCCTCATTTTATCAACTTTGAAAGGATGGTATAACTTCCTGCCCAAATTTTAAAATATGGATTCATATTGGACAGCATGCACAACAAATTAAATTTCAATATTTGTCAAAGATATCACTAAAGTATAATGGGTCGCCTATAGTCTCTAAGTATGTTAATTTCTATACATTGTACAATGCAAATGAAATGTTTCCAGTTTGAAGCTGAAAGCAGTTTCTGAAAAGCAGAGACAGAAAGCAAAATAGATGTTTTTACTGAAGCAGTATTTTGGGTAATAAACAAAATAAATCATATTATTTCATTAATACAAAATTGTTTCCAAATTATATCCAGTATGAACTAATATTTCTTTTTCTGCTGTTCACTAGTGTTACAAAATAAAGGTAAAATATAAATGTTCTACTTACTATTTACTATCTAATGTGTGTGCTTTGTGCATATCTGTTAAGATTCTGGGAGAGAAGCAAGTAGAGCACTTTCCCTTCAGGATTTCTTCATACTTGTGCTTTTGCTTCCTATTTTGCTGCTTCTAGTGAAGCATGATCATATTGCTTGTATGGTTAGCATGAAGGCCCAAAGGCTGGAACTACTGTCCTTTCTCCGCTTGTCTCTATCTGTGGGAAATGTGGACTTCCTCTTCTTAAAGTTCTCTATAATTATTCTGTAATTTCCCCTCCCCCCCATCCTTCTTCATCTAATCTCCATCAGACTGTTGAAGCTTTTTATTCAGGTTTAGAATGAATATATTCAAATATAGAAGCAAAAAAGAAGCATAACATTTTATTTCATTTAAATACACATATTTCCCTGTATAAACCCAATCTCAGCTCCCCATATTGAATGTGTCATTATTTGGTCATACATAGAAAATGGCATTATGCTTAAGGCCCTCAGGAATGGCTGTATTAATGAGGTGACTCTTTTACATTCTTTCATCTGCTATTGCTTTGTTCTTGCTGTTTTGATAGTGTGTTTTTGAGGGTTTAAATCTTTTTTTAAAAAAATTAATGATTTTGGTTTTACATATTTATTTTTTTATAATATTTTATTGATTTTCTCATTTTACAACTGGGTATTTAAAAAGCAGTGTGATGACTGGGTTGATCAATAGTTCAATAGCATACTTAAGTCTTTAGTATAAATCTCATATTACAACATATCACATTGCAATCATGGAGATAACTTGGAGAGAAACTCTGAGGAAGCATTTATTCCTGATTGCATCCACAGAGGTAACAGAACTAAGGCAGGCACCACAAGGGCTACAAGTTAATCCTGCATAATAAATGCCAGCAAGGGATCATTTAAGGAAGAAGTTGTCAAATGGCATTGATCTCTCTTGCCCCTCCAGAAGAACAGCACCAAGAGAAACAGGATGTCTTGGTTTTCAAGAACTTGCATGAAGACTTTTCTCACCATCTTCCCTTTTGCTTTGTTGCGGATAATTCCTTTATTAAGAAACTGTCAGCATATCTTTGGTTTTAGTTGCCCTGACCCCTGACCAGCAGACACCTTTGTTGTTTTGAATTTTGAAAAAATACAGAAGTTGGTTTCTAGTTGCAAAATCAGGAAGGGTGTTGATATTACAAACTGTTCCTTTAGCTTTCGTAGTGTTTCTCCTGAAACTAGATACCAGAATCTTCTCAAGAACTCATGAATTCACTTCTAGCACTTACCAGTGGGAGAGTGACATTGTGAACTATTCTGCTTTAAGCATCATATAGCTAACCTCACCTTAGATGTTATGCTTCTGGCTGCTCCATCTGAAGAAGCAGGATATTTGGGGACAGGCCAGTTATTTATTTATTTATATATATATATATATACTGCTCAAAAAAATAAAGGGAACACAAACATATAGGATGTCTTAGTTTTAATAATAATAATAATAATAATAATAATAATAATAATAATAATAATAATAATAATAATAATAATAAAGTTGGAAGGAACCTTGAAGGTCATCTAGTCCAACCCCCTGCTCAGGCAGGAAACCCTATACCATTTCAGACAAATAGCTGTCCAGTCTCTTCTTAAAAACTTCCAGTGTTGGAGCATTCACCACTTCTGGAGGCAGGTTGTTCCACTGGTTAATTGTTCTAACTGTCAGGAAGTTTCTCCTTAGTTCTAGGTTGCTTCTCTCCTTGATTAGTTTCCACCCATTGCTTCTTGTCCTGCCTTCAGGCGCTTTGGAAAATAGCTTGACTCCCTCTTCTTTATGGCAGCCCCTGAGATATTGGAACACTGCTATCATGTCCCCCCTCGTCCTTCTCTTCATTAAACTAGACATACCCAATTCCAGCAGCCGTTCCTTATATGCTTTACCCTCCAGTCCCCTAATCATCTTTGTTGCTCTTCTCTGTACTCTTTCTAGAGTCTCAATATCTTTTTTACATTACAGTGACCAAAACTGGATGCAGTATTCCAAGTGTGGCCTTACCAAGGCATTATAAAGTGGTATTAACACTTCACGTGATCTTGATTCTATCCCTCTGTTAATGCAGCCTAGCACTGTGTTGGCCTTTTTGGCAGCTGCAGCACACTGCTGGCTCATATTTAGGTGATTGTCCAATAGGACTCCGAGGTCCCTCTCACAGTTACTACTATTGAGCAAGGTGCCACCTATGCTGTACTTGTGCATTTGGTTTTTCTTGCCCTTTATTTTTTTGAGCAACACACACACACACACACACACACATCCTAGTAGCCCATTACCTGAGATTGACTAAGGCTGAAGAAACATAACAATTTTCAAAGCTCCATACTTTGCCCATTGCAGCTTTAGGGGATGAAACAGAAAATGTATTTTATGGTAATTACTGCATAACTTGAATATCCTACTATTCATAATCCATGCTTAAATGTATGCATCTATATACAATTTGCATTTTCACCAGTGTTCGTTCATATATATATATATATATATATATATATATATATATGTATGTATGTATGTATGTATGTATGTATGTATGTATGTATGTATGTGTATGCGTATGCATATGTATATAGGTCATTTTTTAAATTTAGTTGGCGACAATTCAAAAATCATTTACACTGCTTTTTTTCCAGGATGTTGTTTCTATCTTCCAAGTTCACACAACAGCTTTGAGATTCACTGCTACTGTAGTCTCCTGTCCAAGTACTAACAATCCAATTATGCTGCATTTTTCAAGATTAGACAAGGTTAACTAAATATTTCTAAAGTTGGAATACAGTATTATATTGCCTATTATTTTCATATTATAAGATAATGAACATTTATGAAGCTACAAAAAGAGCAGTCACAATATAAGCTATTGGAAATAGCTAAAAGAGAAGTCATGCCCTTCTGACTGTTCATAGTCCCCAATTCTTTTTATGCCCCAATCCTCAACCACAGTCATCCCAAATCATTAGCAGTTTCCCATGATCTACTGCAATAGAACCCATATGACATATCTAAATATTATTGTGGTTTTTAATCAACAGTTCCTGCCAATAAAAAATATATGTGGCATGTCCTTTTTCATTTCATATTGTGATTCTGCTCACTACAATCCTTGTGCATAGTAACAATTTAAATACAATTCTTGGCCATTCAGAGATTGCCCAAAATAAAAACATAAAATACAATACTGCAAAACTTAAGTGTAACAAAATCCTACTAAAATCCGTTTGATTTACAATGTTTTCCTCTATGTTTTACTCAAAAATAAGCCCCTTCAAATTTCCCCCTAGAACCAATATTTAACTAGTAAAATTAAGTTTGACTTAGTAACTTGGTAATGTTTGCCTATATTACAGAAAGATTCTATAATATAGAACTCCTAGTACTACTGGGTATATTTCTAAATGTTTTCCATTTATATTTTTATTTTAAGCATATATTCGCCATGACTGAAGAATATATTGAAGTATCTTCGTTTTCATATGAAGAAGAAGAAGAAGCCATTCTATGTAACAAAACGGACATCCTGATGCTTGGAAAAACCTTCCTGCCTAAGTTGTATGGCCTGGTGTTCACCATTGGGCTGATAGGAAATTTCCTAGTAGTGCTTACCATTCTGAAAGCCAGGAACCAAAAGAGCATCACTGATATATTTTTTTTGAATCTGGCCATCTCCGACCTTCTTTTTGTGATTTCTCTTCCTTTTTGGGCTTTTTATATTATACATGATTGGACACTTGGGAACCTTACATGCCAAATAGTTTCTTCTTTCTATTCTGTGGGCCTCTTTGGTGGCATGTTTTTCATCACCATCATAAGCATTGACAGATACCTAGCTATTGTTTGGGCAACATGTGTTATGAAATCCAGGACAATCACCTATGGATATCTTACTAGTATATTAATATGGGCCCTAGCGATTTTCTTTGCAAGCCCCCACTTTATATTCATCCAAAAGTCAGACAAAAAATGTACTTCATTGTATCCAGAACATCTTAAAATAATATGGCCTGTTTTCAGCTACTTGGAAAAAAACGTCATTGGATTTCTTCTCCCAATGTGCATCATAAGCTACTGCTATCTGCAGATCATCAGAACATTGCTGTCTTGCAAAAACCAGTGCAAACAAAAAGCTATGAAAGTGATTTCACTTGTCGTAATTGTATTTTTTCTCTTCTGGACTCCATATCACCTTTCACTTTTTCTGCAGGTGCTACAGTACTTTGAAGTCTTCAAAGACTGCAGTTCCTTAAGGTTTTTGGATTACACAATACAAGTGTCTGAGTCAGTAGCTTTTAGCCATTGCTGTCTTAATCCAATCATCTATGTTTTTGCTGGTGAAAAATTCAGAAAGCACCTTTCCCACTTGGTTCTCAGATGCATTTCATTCACATGTGCCTGTGGGTCTTGTGGCAAATATTGCAGTGGAGTGCCTACTGCTATTCCAGATTGTGTTATGACCAGCAATCATACCCAGAATACCAGCGACCAAGATGTATCTCTCCTTATTTGATTGTTAATAGTTAAATAGTATTGAATATTGAGACATATTGAATATTGAACTATTTTACCCAAGCTATCCATAGACTTCACTTTCTCAGTACTGAAACTTTTGTGTACCATAGTTATAGGATTATGTTTCAAGTATTTTCCTTATATATTTATAAAGTAAGATTCTTTAGTATCAGTTTAGAATTTCTCTTTATGATGAATAGCAAACAAGTAAAATCAGTAACCAATAAATTCTATATTGTTTACATCCTTATTTTTTACTATTTATTGTTTAAGCAGTAATATCCTTCTTTCACAACATATTATTCAGAGGGAGAAAGGTTTTATATTGGAATCTCAGCCTGTGAACTACTGTTCTGAGTACTTCACATAAGTGGAAGAATAGGAAGAATTTCTACAAAATAAAGCTGTAAGGGCTCAGTACCCCACAGTTCTTGGTACTATTCTCAACAACTGAAAAAAATGGTACCCTGTCATATTTCCACCATCCACTTTTACCACCAGAACAAGAGATTAGGCATTGAAAAGAAAAAGACAGGGTGCATTCAGATTGTACAACACATAATCCAATAGGATATGTTTGGCAGAATCAAAGAAAGTTAGAGTTGGAAAAGGTCTTGGAAATTATTCAGTCTAAATTCCTACCAAATGCAAGACTCCAACATTATAGCATCACCAACAAATGGTCGTCCAGCCTCTGTTTAAATATTTCTAGAAGGAAGGTAAGTAGTGTCCTGTTGAATTAGATCCCTGATGTATCTAGTTTAGCAGTATGTTCTCAGGGTAACCAATCAACTGCACAAAGAAGCCCACTAGTATTTTAACTGCTAGGCCTGAAAGGCAATGGCACTGCCATCACGCCTTAACTCTCATGAGTTCCATAAATAAATCTGTCCCATCATGCTGGTTCATCTTAATTATATTAAACTCTAGTTTGCAAAACAGATCTAGGAAGTAGTAGGTGCTTCATCTCTGGAGGTTTTTAAGAAAAGACTGGACAGCGACCTGTCTGAAATGGTAGGGTGTCCTGCTTGACCAGGTGCTTGGACTAGAAGACCTCCAAGGTCCCTTCCAGCTCTGTTCTGATTATTATTATTATCCCTCTCTTTCAGAAATTTTGAAACTTCAACCCTGAGTTTTTCACATCACTTGAATGCTAAAAGTATTGGACAGCAACAACTATATTTTGCAGCATTTGTTTACAAACATGACTGTATTAAGTAATCAGACAATAAAATATTTTGAAATTACAATATATATTTTCATAAAATGGGGAAAACAGAGAAAGAAAAAAAGATGAGCTAGCAGAAATTTTAAAAAATTAAAAACACTATATAATTATTCTTATGAATTGTCCAACTTTGATGAGAAAGGAAGATTTCTTCTGGCAAAGAAGGAAGATCCAACTCTATTTCAATTGTACCACAAATTGTAAAAGGAGAAATAAACCAACTTGTTCAAAAAGTACAGAGAACCTGCAAAGAAAAGTTCTAAATTAAGCTAGCAAACTAGACGGATTAACCACTTCTGTTTTTTGCCCTCCAGATGTTCTGTTTTGAATCCAGCTTAAGTAGCAACACGACAATATAGTGAAAGTGTCCTTTCTTTAGATTTCTCATAACATTGGTGTTTGGTTTTGATTTTTAAATTCTTTTCTTTTTGTCTTGGTTCATCAATTCAGTAATTTGACTTTCTAAATTTTATCTCAGCCACTGATAAGTTTTCAGTGAAATATGCAAACCAAGATACAATGGGCATAAGTTACAGCTACTCAAGTTTCATTTAAATGTAAGGGGAAATGTGCTAATGATAAGATCAATGCCACAGTAGAGTAGGATGTTTGGTCAGGATATGGATACTTCATCTCTGATTGATTTTAAGAAGATGCTAGTTAACCACTCCTCCTGGATTGATTAATTAGTTTTTCTGCACATTGCAGAGGGTTGCACTAGGTCAGGGGTTGGCAACCTTAAACACTCAAAGAGCCACTTGGACCCCTTTCCCAGAGAAAAGAAAACACTGGGAGCCACAAAACCTTTTTGACATCTAAAATGAAGATAACACTGCATATATCCTTTTTTTACCTTTGTACTATGTATAAAAAAAACTATAGTGTGTTGCATTTATGAAATCAATGAACAGTTAGAAAGAAAACAAATTTTTATTTCTGCATGCAACAAAAACATTTTGAACTCCAAAAAAAAAGACACTGGGTTGAAGGTTACTTTTAAATAAAATACTCAATGTCTATTTGAGTCCTTCTCATATTTATGAAATAAAAAGCAGGTGCAAACTATAAAAACTACAAATAATAGAAAATAAAAAAATTGCGGGAGGAAAAAAAGAAAAGGACAGGAGAAAGAGGGGAAAAAAACCCTTTCTCCTTCATCCCAACAGGTTAAAAACAATTTTAGTAGCTTATCTACCATCTTTAAATACAGCATAATTATCCCCAAACCTCATCTCTTAATTTAAAAAAATCAAAATATTTCATTAAACGTTCTTTACTAAAAGTCCGGTAAGGACAACCACATATATTCATATATATTTTTCTCTCTCTCTCCCTCCCTCCCTCTCTCTTTCTCTCTCTATCTCCATCCCTCCCTCTCTCTCTCTCCCTCCCCCCTCTCTCCCTCCCTCCCTCTCCCTCCCTTCCTTTCTCTCTCCCTCTCCCTCCCTCTCTCTCTCTCTCTCTGGGGAGGGGGGGCTTTAAGGCTGCAGACCTTCTGGACCTCCATCTTCTTGCAGGTTGCAGTTGGAATCAACTACTTTGTATCTCGCCGAGGTCCCCAGGCTGTAGTCAAAATAGCTGCAATCGGAATATGCAGATAAAGCAGCATTATGCTGGCATTGAAGGCAAGCGGAGGCAGTGGACGGAGCAGGCAGGGCTCACTCCCAACGTCTAGCCTGGGACCCGGGGAAGCTCCTTCAGACTAACAGACTGCCTGCTAGCTAAACACTCAGAGCTGGCAGCCTGGCAAGCGAGTCTGATTGCATGCCGTGGCCGAGCTGCTGCCAAAAAGGCCACCCCCCCCATTTGTCCTCTGCCACTTGCCTCCTGCCTCGTGGCAGTGGCATCTCGACTGCGGGAGATGGGTGGAGGCACTGCTAAAGAAGCAGGACCCTGGCGAGGGGAAATGAGGGAAAGACAAGCCGGCTGGGGAGGGAGCAGGTGCCGCGGGCATCGTGCCGCTAGCAGAAGGTGGCTCTGCTGCAAGCGGCAGAGAAGAAATGGAGCTGGCCTTTTTGGCAGCAGCTCGGCCAGGGCGTGCTGTCAGACTCGCTCGCCAGGCTGCCAGCTCCGAGTGCTTAGCTAGCAGGCAGTCTGTTAGTCCGAAGGAGCTGCCCCGGGTTCCAGGCTAGACGTTGGGAGTGAGCCCTACCTGCTCTGTCCGTTGCCTCTGCTTGCCTTCAGTGCCAGTGTAACACTGCTTTACCTGCGTATTCTGATTGCAGCTATTTTGACAGCCCAGGGCCTCAGCGAGATGCAAAGCAGTCGGTTGGAACCTGCAAGAAGACGGAGGTCCGCAGCCCTTCCTGAGAGAGAGAGAGAGAGAGAGAGAGAGAGAGAGAGAGAGAGAGAGAGAGAGAGAGAGAGAGAGAGAGAGAGAGAGAGAGAGAGAGAAGGGAAGTGCAAGTCCCTCTCTCTGTCTCTGTCTCTCTCTCTGCAAAAGGCTTGGGAGCCGCAGTAGAAGGCTGAAAGAGCCACATGTGGCTTCAGAGCCACGGGTTGCCGACCCATGCACTAGGTGATTCTGTAATCCATTCCAACTGTACAGTTCTATAGTTCTATGATTTAAATTGCTAATGGAAAATGCAATCTAATATCTGTCTTATTATTTCCTTCTTCTCATGCCTTCTCTGTGAGTCTAAAAAATATAATAGTAAAAATAATATTAAAATGTAAATGCTCCATTCCCACTTCACTTGGTACAAGGGTACCAAAGGAACCTGGAATTTGGTAGCTGTGATTGCTTTGGGGAAAAAATGAACTCATATTTATATATAGTATTTATCCTCTGTAATGTTTCTAAGCCAAATGTAATCTCGTAACCCAAATTGATCAACCTGCATCCATCAAAGGGTTTATGCTATTTCAGAAGATTTCAACAAATACAATGAGTTTTTAACATTTTATCATTTAAAGTAGTCATAATATGTCTCACACATAATCTGTACACCCAATGAAGCCTATCTATGCATCTAATTAATTGAATTCACAAAAGCTTATGCTTTTAATACAATTTATTAGTCAGACAAAAAGTCTGACTAAATTTCTGATATTTTTATGCCACATTATGGCTAACATGGCTGCCCTTCTAAAATGTCCAAGCCAAACTATGTCCCCTAAACATATAGCTCATCAACAATAAAGTTCAAAGAGCATCAACAACTCCACAGTTTAACCCTGAATTATATATATTCTCTTTTATTGATACAACTTTCATATAGCCAGCATATCCAAATCTACTGGATAAATCTTTCAGCCAAAAATTATTTTTATCCCTTTGAAAGTATTTATCCCAATGCTGTACATAAAAGGAGGAGGACTTGTATCAACAGTTAGAAATCTGTCTAGGATAAGAGCCACATTGGACACCATGGAAATCTCAGGAGGGCACACTACCTTAGGAAGAGCTGGAGGAGAGTGAGCAGCATCCATGGGACCAGGAATTACATGTCTATACTCTGTTGATTCTTATTCCAGCTCTTGCACATACACACACATTAACAAACCTATTCATACTTCTCACTACACTGCTGTATATCCTGAAGGTGGTAACTTTAAGCATTTACCTCCACACTATTCTATTCAAGGGTACTGTTCCTCTGTTGTAGAAACCATTCAGAACTACACTAAAGTTTATTTTCCTAGAAATTCACATCAAAATATGAGGGATTTTTTTTTTAAAAAAAATCAATTTAAATTGAGCTTGAATCCTGCAGGCTGCTTGGATGTACATTTTTCATGATGGCTACTTCTTAATGATGGATAATAGATCTTGTGTGGCATTCCATTGGGTATGTGTGTAGAAAAGTGTTATCCCATCTCCCATCTGTGCCCTTTCTCAAGTTTTTTTCAGTTGCTGTTCCCAAGATTTGGGTTCCAGTTCCCATATCAACCTTGTCATTCTTCTTCATGGGCATGAAGGACCTTACAGAT